TAATATATGTTAATATGATTGAAGGATCACAATTTTATATTTTTAAAATTAGAGGAACCATGATGAAAATAAAGAAATTAAAAGTTATAATTTAAGAAGAAAAAAAAGTAAAATGAAATTTTCAAAACCTAAAATGAAAAAGAAAAAAATGTCATGGGTAAAGAGAAGTTATCTAATTGATTTATTCTTATCATATTTATAGTGAAAACGAAACTTTAACATGTATATATCAAAGAATAATTAATTGCTACTTGTTATTGTATTTTCTATGGTCTCTCCTTCATTTCTTCTTTCATGCTCAATGTTAATTTCTTTCCTACATTGCTTTTATTTATTGTGTTCATTATCGTCCTTGTCATTATGCATGCATGGACTAGTACTTTTGGGGGTATCTTACGTGTTGAGCTCGTCACTTTTGGTTAATTTATGAATTTGTGGTCCAATATCTCCTTGTCAAATGAAGGTTGATTGCTAATTACGCAGCTTTCAATAACATTCAAATTCAATGGGTGGGGATTCATTGTGCCGTTCATTGATTTGAACAACACATTTATTAGGATTCTATACGTACGGATGAACTACAAGTTAATAACCTTTTTTTTTTTGGGTATAAAATGTTATGTTTTTTGACCATTCTGTTGGCTTATGAATTTGTGGTCCAGTATCTCATTACAACAAAAATTATTTTTAACAACAATTGTTTAATGGCAATAATTTAATTGCCGCTATTTAATTATATAATAAAATTATTAATGACTAATATATAATAGCCACTAAAAATGTATTTATATTACACTAAAGTTTATTATTAGCGACAATTATTTATTGAAAAAAACTAGTCCCACATCGATTAGAGATAAGATAATTAAATAGTATATAAGTGAGTAATAACTATCACCTTATAAGTTGATTTATAAGGTTGAATTAGACTCTTAATTCACTATAATAAATTAATATCAAATCACCCATTATTATCAAGTTCAATAATGCTATAAAACAATTAGAAAGCAACTTTCACCTTATAAATCTCACATCTCTTAAGAGATAATGACCATTTATATGTCGCTAAAGAATAAATTAATTATCATAAAAACCTAATTTTGGTGTAGTGTTCATGAAGTTTCATTATTACTTGACTACTAATAATGCAGCTTTCAAGAACATTCAAATTCAGATGGGTGGGGGTTCATTGAGCCATTGAATGATTTGAACTACACGTTAAATGCTAATAGGTATTTATACAAGAATATATATATATATATATATATACACGTAATCGTACGACCAATATCACATTTTGTTTGGAGCATTTGTCATCTTTATTTCGACTCATTATATATTCCAAATAATATGCACAGGTAGATAAACTATATAGTCTCATATTTTTTTTTCCTTTTAAAATGGTTCATTCTCACACAATATATGCACCATGTATAAAGCACCAATTTCGACATGGTCATCGAAGATAACACATCAGCAGACACCAACTTCGACATGGTGCTTCATAGGCCCTAATGAAAACTTGAGAGAGATGATGATGGATATAGGATAGATATCAAAGCATCAACAACTTTCTTAGGAAGTATAACTTTTTTCACTTGAATTTGGTATTATAAGAATGAAAATTCACATTTTTGTAGGATTGAACATCTACATGTGTGGAAAGTATAACTTTAATTTTCACTTGAATTTGATATTATAAAAATGTAAATTTACATTTCTGTGAGACTATACATTAGTAAGTGGTCTGCTAAGAGTTTAATAACAATGACACACAAGGTCCAATAACAATAAATAGATTTATATATTATCTTAAGAAAATGATTTAGGAATTTAATTCAACCTTATAAAAATTAATCAATTTGTGAGATGAAGAATTGTTCTTCATTTATATACATTATTACTACCTTACCACAACAATAATTACTAACAACAAATTGAGTATAATTCTTCCCAAGACAACATCTTGGTTCAGCTCCAAAGGGCATGCAAGCAAGGACAAATCCACATAGATCATAATGGGGGAAAATGCCTCCCACATATATATATATATATATATATATATATATATATATAATAAAGAATAACTCTTTCAACACGAGTAAAATGGTTCACATACAAAAATACTTTCAACTGTCCAAATAATTTTAAATAAAATAATGTGTTCACACTTATCATATTAAAAAGTAAGTGTCTCTATTCTTTTCTGTATTTTTATTTTGTAAAAAAATCAAATATAATATATTAATTTTTTGAAGCATTTTTTTATAGTATATATAATATTTTCTCTATCTTATAATAAGTGTCATATTTGAAGAAAAAATAAGTTTTAAAATAAGTGTCATGTTATCTTTTTAATGTAGTATTAATTACTTCTCTCTTTTTTTTTTCTTTCATTTATATACTTCATAATATTTTTTAAAAAGTGAATATTGTATTGCATTGTTTATAACAAAGAAGATTAATCACAAAATTTCTTCATTCTTAACATGTGTAAAATGATTTAGGATGATACTTATTATGCGATAGAGAAAATATTAATTATAGTTAAGTCAGTAAAAGAATTAAGAAGTGATAATTGACCCAAACTTATAATATTTTTAAAAAGAAAAAAAGTTAAAATTTTGATACAAGATAAAAATGGTTAAATAATGTTTTAATTACTTTTATTAAAAGAGATATTTTTAAAAGTGTTGAAAATGAAAAAAATCATTCAATATTTTTAAAATATAAAGCCTCTTAGAGAACAATTGGATATATATTAATATTTTAAAAAAATATAAAGTTATATGTGTAAATACTATTTTCACCGCGTAAATTTTAATTTCTGAATGCAATTGTATGAAGCAGGAACATTGCTGTCGAGGGATAAAAGGGCAAGATCATGAAAGTGTTGGGATTCTTATTTGCTCCGATAACTGCACAAAAAAAGTGAATAATATTAATATACATTGACCTAGAAGTAGAAGTTAGTGGCAATTTTATTTACAAGCTAATTTATATGTATCATTATCTTAACAATCTTTCTTGATCAAGGTATCTTAACAATCTTTCAAGATTAATTCTGTATTTGTGTTTGTATCAGAACTTTTCTCCCGCTTTTAGCATTCCTTATGCTATAGGCTGTAATTACTTCCTAACGAAATGCTCTTTGCCTAAAAAAAATGTACCCTTTTGGAATAGTAAAAGCTTCGTAAGTGATATCTGTATCACCTCTCTAAATGCATGCACCAGGTGCAGTTGAGTAAAGTTTCATGATCTCCTGCGCAGCAGTTTGTGTGTATTAATTCAATATTTGTATGCTCCGAAAGAAATTCATAGTGATTACTCAAATAATGAATAATATAAGATACAATATTATAGTATGTTTGCGCAAGATTTAGAAAAAATTACATACCTGAAATTAATTAGAGATCCATTTTTATTGATCTTGAACAATGTGAGAGAAGATCGCTCTTTTTCTGGTAGGAGGTGAAAAGGCAGAAGACAAAAATGTTTTTCGCTATAAGAACTGAGTAATGGGATACCAGTTCTATATCCTTACCAGTAGAGACTAAGATCCTCTCAACGGGCTACTGAATATTCCAACCCATCACAGACTATTCATCAGAAGCCTAATATGTATTATCCATAAATTAATAATAAGGTGCAATATAATTAATATTAATATATAAATATAATTTATTAATTAATATTAATCAATAATAATAATAAAATAGAAAATAATTATATAAATAAATATATAAATATAACATGCTCTTCCAATCTAAAGCGTACCAGATCATATGTAATTCTATGCATATCTATATTAATTTGAGTTAATCACTTATACACTAAAGTTTTTTTATACTGGTAACTAATTATATCTTTTAATTGTGCCATGTCACTGTTAAAAGTAAATGTGTTTATAGTGACATGACATAAGTGATTAACTCATATTTTTTTGGTAGATATATTTATCTATATAAAGCAGATTTTTTTTACAAATTTATTTAGATTATTTTATCCTTTAAATATCCCAAACTACTTCCAATTACAAATATTCCAGTTATGAAATGCATCTTTTCTCCCCTGATTTAGAATAGTATCAGTTTAGAGGGATTATTTTCTTCTATAATAAGTGTTGTTCTATTTTTTTTTTAATATTCCAAAAGATGTTAATAAATAAATAAAAAAGAAAAAAAATAATTTTATAAACCTAACTCTATTAGTACTCTCATCCTATAATAACTGTTTTATTAAGTTGCATGTATACATATAAAAAAGTTAATAAATAAATAAAAGATAATAATAATTTTACAAAATTAACTTAGTGATTAATCTTCTTTGTTATAAATTATGCAACACAACAACTATGTTCTAAAAAAAAAATATTAGTAGAGATATAAATAAAAAAGAGGTAATTAATATTATATAAAAAAGTTAACATAACACTTTAAGATTTATTTCTTTTTCTTACACAAGACTTCTTATGAATTAGGATAGTTTGTTATATACAAATAAAAAAATGTAATTAATATTACATTAAAAAATCAAAATGTTTTAAGATATGTTATTTATTTATTTATTGTTATACAACATTTATTATGGTATAAAAAAATAACTCAACAATAAAATTATAAGAAGTCTCCAACTTTATGGCACCCACATAAGCCAAGCTATAACAACTTTGTGAACAATAATTACTACCTCTTAGTTGTATCTTACATCATGTCTCCTTGACTCCTTCGATGTTTCGTTCTTTCTCTATGTTTCCTTCTGCAAACTGCTTTATGGATTGCATTCTCGTCTTTTTGTCATCATGCATGCACGCTCTAAAGACTTTTGGAGAAGGGATATTTTATCTTACGTTTTGTGCGTTGTCGTTTTTGGTTTATGAATTTGTGGTCCAGTATCTCATTGTCCAATGAATGTCGATTATTAAGTTGACTACTAATCACGCTGCTTTCAATAACAATCAAATTCAGTTGAGTCGTGATTCATTGCACACCATTGATTAATATGACAAGAAAATATTAATGCGAATATTCTTATTATATCATCTCAATCACACACATATTTGTCATCTATATTATGATGTTCATCATATTTTACATATAATCTGCACTCATAGATAAACTATGATACACCCAAGATATATATAATTTTTTTTCAAACGCTTCATATTCACTATATATGCACTCATGAAAACTAAAATTAAAGGTGGTGAAGACGGATAGGAATTCCCTCTGCTGGGATAGGTACCAAAGAACCTGAAACTTTCTCATGAGAAAATATAGCTTCCCACTTGAACTTGGTTATGAGAATGTGAATGAAATTGATGAGCACAAACCGTGTATAGTCCCTTCCAGGGCATGATCTTGGTCCAGCTCCAAAGGGTATCCAAGTGTAGGGAGCATGAACATTCCCTTCAAACCTTGAGGGATCAAAACTTTCAGGTTCAGGAAAGTACTTGGGGTTCTTATTTATTCCAATAAGGGACCAATAGATCTGTGAAAATGTAAATTAGTTAATGACAAACTTAATACAAAAGTTAACTTACATGTATCAAATTATCAATATATTAACATATTTCTTGATCAAGGTACCTTCCATCCCTTTGGAATAGTAAATCCTTCATAGGTGATATCTGTTAAAGCTTCTCTGAATGCACCCGGTGCAGTAGGGTAGAGTCTCATGGTCTCCTGTGCAACAGCCCATGTGTATTTCAATTTCTGTATGCTATCCCAATCTAGTGCTGTACCAGATCCTTTGGATTTTGTAATATCAGCATGTTCTGATTCAAAATAAAAGGAGGCATGATATATAGTTATACTTTAGAATAGAAAGTAAGCATACTGAATACTACTTTTGCCTTATGTGTCACTCCCACTTATATTTTGGCTGTGGTATGTCAACCTTATTTTGTTTTAGAATCTTGCAGTTTGGGTCCAAAAAGAAAAGCAAAAAGCACAAACTGGATTCTCCTGACTTAATTCCAAAATTATATTTTATCTCACACCACCTTAAAGTTGCCACAAAATATGTAAAAAAGCCACAACTTATATACAATTTCTTAACTACTATTAATGTTATATGTTATTATTGGAATTCCATCTCAATAATATGCGTAATAAGAATTTGTATTAAAGATTAATATAATTTATTGAGATAAAAATCCAATTTCATACGAAAATTATGTCAAAATCAGCTAAATAACTGCATTTGAATTTTGTCCTATGTGATACATATATAAGTAATCACTATCTTAAATTACCGGATATGATTTTTTGGTAGATATCAGGCCTCTGTCCAATGTGTTTGATCATGAAAGCAAGAGTAATAGCTATTGGCAAGTGACTGGAATTCATCAACCCCATGATGATGTTGCTTATTTCAAGTCTTGGCACATAATTTCCACCTTGCTCAGCTCCAACTACATGTCCTAGTAGGCCATCCACAACTTGCCCCTTGTTCAAAGCATCAATCTTCTCTTTGATCAGAAATTGGATTTCTTTCCTTATTGCAGCTGCAGCCCTCAGTGCCCTACTATATTTAGAGCCCGGGAAATTCAAAGGAACAGAGTAGATCCCAAAATACAAGTTCTCAAACTCAGTGGCCAATTTGGGCTCATCAAGGCCCAAGTAGAATTGACACACAAGTCTAAAGGAAAAGTCCTTGACCAAAGGGTACACCTCCACTTCTGTTTTCCCTTCCCAGTGTGTCAAGAAATGTTGGTGCATGATTGATCCAATCTTGTTCCCCATGTAACTAGACATCCCTTCAGGTTTCAGAATCCCCAAGATCGCCACTGGAGCAGCAGAAGCACCTTGTTGTTTTGGCTTAGCTGCATGAGTGTGATCAGGGATATTGAAGAACCTGCGTTGAGTCTTCATGTACCAAACTTTGACAAGCTTTGTCTCATTGGTGGAGACAAATTTGTTGGCACCAGGGCCACAAAGAACCACTGTTGGCTCTCCTAGAATGTTGGTGCAGAAGATCTCTGAGGAGTACTTTTTAGCCCTCTCTTGAAGGAAATCATCAACTTTGTTGAACAAAAATTGGAAGGTTTCACCCACTAGGGGCCACCCAAAAGTACCTGGGGGCAAGGTTTTAGTGCCACCTAATGTTTTTCTTTTCTGCCAAACATAGATGGATGCAACCAAGGTGATCAAAGTAAGAAACAAAGTTTGCATGAAAAAATCCATTTCAAGGTACTAAGTTCTTGGCATGCTAGATGGTGGTGTTGAAATGCTTTTTATACAAGTCAGAGAACATCTCTTTCTGTTACGAATATCATATATTTTCATTTGGAGAATAAAGAACTGGTTGTTCTAGAAGTCTCTTTGGCAATCTACATCTTTCTCAATAGCTAATATAATGTTATTTTCTTGATTTATGGTGGTTGTTTATTTTCGACACTCGCACAATGCAAACAACATTTGATACTATGATTTCTCTATTTTATTTATAGGTGTCAAAGTGGAATACCTTGGATCGGGTTGGCCCACCAAGAATAATCCGAGAGTAAATTAATTCAGCGCGATTTACTCATTGCCGAGGAAAAAAACAAAAATGTCAACTCATATAAAAAATACTCTAATCCTGCCTATCAAGATTATTTAAAGGGATGTTAACTATTTATCCATTCACCTAATTTAATAGTGTTAAATGTGAGTGTATATCAAGAAAAATCTAAATTTTATACTGATTATAGATAAAATAAATAAAGAATTTATATTACAAACCCATTTTATAAATTTGAATTAAGTTTAAATTCATATTTTTAAGAATCTAATTCAATTAATTATGGATGAAGGTGATAAATTCTTTAAAGCTTTAAATAAAAATCAAAATATGAATAGGTTTATTATATGAGAGTAACTATACCACATTTATAAATTGAGGTATTATGAAACGTCGCTTTAGGTTAATATAAATAAAACTAGTTGTATTATTTGTTTGGCTAAATATAAAAATGTAAATAGGTGTGGATTTCATTCTTCAAAACTACACTCTCAATCATCTGTTGCCTAGAATAGTATCTGATAACTTGTGGCCTGTTTTAGGCACATTTTCGTTTGTCTTTTGTAGTATACTGCATCATGCTCATCTTTTGGATGAATAGTAATTCTGCTCTTATATGTTGTAAAGATAAGTTTACATAACTCAAATGTTTCTTATCTTTGAAATGAGGAACCACATGCTATGGTGTTCATTTTCCAGTAGTTAATGTAAAATATTCTGTCACCTTGGTTAGGTTTGTCTTTGAATACTGGTTGCTATGGTTAGTGTACTGACGGAAACTTACTATTGATATAAAAATTAACGGTAACAACTAACGAAACCCCTCAATTTTATGATATATAGAATTTCTCTTATTGCATTGCATTCCACAATTTATATATAATAATAAATTATATTTAATTGAACTATTGATATATATGGTTGTTTAGTAGATAAATTATATGGCATGCATAATAAATCTATCCAGTCAAATCATATTACCACATAACTATTAAATTTTGTGTCAGCATGACCACTTAATAGTGGCAATTATTGGAGCAAATAGAAAAAAATGCACGTATTATATGATTTAGTATCTAGTTGACATCTTAAGTGAGCATCAATAGTTCAATTAGTTATCAATTATTAGCACACATTATTTAATAAAAAAAATATTAATCCCAAATTAATATTATTTATGTAAAAATATTAATGAAAAATTAAAAGTTGACAAAAAAATTTAACAAAGACTAAAAATCAAATTCATAAAATGTTTTTGAATTATTACTACTATTACTAATGATGATTTTGATGTCCTAATTCTATATATTTATATAAAAAATAAACAAGCTCGTCTATTGTTATTCTTTATTATGTGATTAACATACGTAAATAATTAAGTTTACACATTTTTTATCTTAATTGTTTAGTTAGTATAGTAAATTGCAATTTTTTTCAAAGAAACTCAACTTATGACCCAATCCAGCTGAACCTAATAATAAGTTGTAGTAAGTTGTAATTTTATTTTAAAAAATTGTTTAAATTTTAATTTATATTTCCCTATAATTATTAATCTACAACTTTAATTTCTCAATTTTTAATTTCATGATTGTAGTTTTTCAATTTATAAAATTTAGAATTTTGATTCAACTTATAAAGATTCATTTGTTAATTATTAAAATTGTAACATTTATCATGATTTATATTAAATATATAACATGATAATTAATATTTAATATTTGGTTAAATTGACTTTAGTTATTATTTTACTCATTTTTATCTCTTTTTTACAATATTTATAGAATAAAAGTTAGAACTAAAAATATAAAATGAGTAACAAGAATTACAAGAAAAAATAATTTCAAACCTGTTCTAGTAGTGTTGAATTGCTTTTACCTTTTATATAGATCGCCAACAACGTTTTTGGTGTGTGTTTTTTTTATTTTTATTTTTTATTTCTGAATTTTCCCAGATCATGATTTAGAGGCTTTCCTAACTAAGCATGCAATTGTCTATATTGTACATATATCTATCTCTCTAGTTACCATCACACAATATATCTATATATTTCTTGCTAGCTATTATTATTTTTCTTAACCTACGTATAAAACAATGGGCATGTGCTTTTGACAAACTTCAATCAGGTACCATGTACATTGATAAATGTCATCATTTTTTTAATGTAATCAATTTTGCATGTTTCTTAAATTAATTTAGGCTGTTTTTGTAATGAGTATATGTCCACATCCACCCACACTATCCGAGCCAATGGAAGTTACTGAAAGGATCAAAGTGGTTGCTTTTAAAATTATTAACAGACAAAATTCATAACTAAAGTAATGATATGCATATCTTTTAAAGATGAAAAATAAAAATTCACACTTCAACATGGAAATCTCTTACATATAGAGATTAAAAAAAAAATATCAAGTAGGGTTTTTCTATAGTCCACATCTTCACAGTGATAAATATTTTGTAGATAACCGTAATGGGAGAACAATAAATATTTAAGATTTTATCCTTTTCTAACTTTTTATTTTATTTAAATCATCAAACAAATAATTATAAAAAAAACAAAAATAAGACAGGGAATAGAGAACCCCATTTGAATTTAAATATCCCAATTCATATTAATTGAGCATCATGGGATTTGTTACCGAAGCGATTCTTAGTTTAATGTTGTGCCTAGTCATTTTGTATTGTTTTGTATGTCTCCATTGTTAGTTTGATATGCTCTTTGTGGTCCTGCATGTGGTCCTTCACCATAACAGGACATTCATCTGTATATATTGCCGTTAACATGTAAATTCAAATCCCTCTCCCCAACTGTAATATAAAAGAAAATCATTAGTGATTTTAAGTTTTATAAGAGCTATGTGTACTATCGAAATTCGAGATCCATTAAAATAATTACAACCAAATCTAATGAACATTCAATAATAAAATTTAAATGTATGAGGGTCAATTTGAGTACTAAAATGTCCAATTTACATAAAGTCAAGTCAGCATATTAGAAGTGTTTATATGAGAGTAAATGATTATAATTTATCTAATTGGTTGTTAGCAAAAGTGATTTTATGTTTGCTATTCTTAATCAATAATCAAGGTTGGATCTTCAATTTGAGTATAAAATAATCGGAAAATACTATTTTATCTTATAAAGACTAATTCAGTTAGAAAGAATTATACTTTTTTAGAAATTGTTTGGTAAATTATTTTTAGAAAAGGGTTATGATTTTATTTAAAATTATCATATATTAACTTATAATAACATAAGAATTTAAAAAATCAATTTAAGACATAAAAGTTATAATAATAATTTTTATGAGTAGTCAAATTAAACCTTACCATCTTAATGAGTGAATAATTATTTTAATAGATAAAAAACCTGATTTAAAATTTCATTGAAGACAAAAATAAATTATGTTTGAATAGAGGATTTTATAATTATGGACAAATTCATTATAGTAATGCTTTCTTTTCGGTTTGCGGTACAAAGAAAACCATCAAGAAACTAGGCCCAGCCCAAATTAAGTAAGGCCTGTGGAGCATTAGAACAAAGCCCAAAAAGAGAAAGACCACCAAACGAAACCCTATAAAAACCCTAACCATGTGGGTCATCGGGTTAGACCCGACCCTGATGAATCTGAAATTGGATTGGAGCATAGTGGGTTCGGTTCCATTAAGTGTAGCAGGTTGTTACTGTGTTTTTGGCCTAAGAAGAAGAACGTTGGAAGTGATAACACTGGGTTTCGTTGAATCTGCACTAAAACCCTACGCACACATTTCCATTAGATATCGCATCAATGTCTACGCTCGAAATTGAAGCTCGAGAGTAAGTTTCCTTCACTAATATCTATGACCTTGTTTGTATTTACTTTCGAATAAGTTAAATATTTAATTAGCGAATTCTTGAAATCGGGAAATTTAATTGTCTTCGTTTACTAAATCACTTGTTTCAATTTTGTTCACGTCTAGTTGTACCTCATTTGATGTTTCTCTGGCTCAATAGATTTATTTTATTTCAATTTTTGTGTATTATAAATTGTCAATTTTTGTTTGCCTTTCGCAGTGTCATCAAAATTGTGCTCCAGTTTTGCAAAGAAAATTCCTTGCACCAGACTTTTCAGACGCTGCAGAATGAATGCCAGGTTTCTCTGAACACTGTTGACAGCATTGAAACCTTTGTTGCTGATATTAATAGTGGAAGATGGGATGCTATATTGCCTCAAGTTTCTCAACTCAAGCTTCCCAGGAATAAATTGGAGGATTTGTATGAGCAGGTATTTTGTGTTGCGTGTGACTCACTTTGGTTTATGGCATGTAACTGTTTAGTGTACATTCACTTTATCACAGACTTCAATGCTTGCTATGAACTTTTTAACGTCTCTAAAACCTTATCATTTATATAAACAGTTTTAATTGGGATTTAAGGATGGGTGGAGTTGTTGAGACTTGAGATTAATAGAATGGGTTGAAATGTTGAAATAGAGGTTGGTGAGGGTCAACAATAACATAGGGATGCAATTGACATAGGAAGTGCTGAATGTTGTTTCTAATCAATCTGCCTAGCTGAGTTTTGTTGTTAATCAATCTGCGTAACCTAACTATGTTGGTGGTCAGCATTAGCAACTAGCAAGTAGTGGCCATCGATCAGGTGTCCTTTTAGATGTTGATCCTCATTTTCTTCACATTTGTTTTGTGTAGCTGGTTCACTAACTTTTAAGTGCATAATCATTTTTTCTTTAAATTACGTGCTGTTTAATATTAGGGAGGAGGTTTGGTCGTCTCCCTCAAGACTTGAGAAATTTTTTTCTTTTAAGGAAAGGAAAGAAAAC